TAGGCATAAAGAACTACGTCTTTGGAAAGGTCACAGAGCAAGCACAATTGGCAGATGCTGAGGTAAGCTGAATGACGCCTTCTTATTTAGCCACCCAGCTGTGAAGATCAGGGAAGAAAGGCACATGAGTCTGTCAGCACCGGAAGAAAAGCTTGTTTTAGTCTTAAAGACAAGCCTGTAGACACCAAAAATGGGAAGGAAAGATTTTGGATATGTTGTATTCAAGAAATATGAAAATGGGTCTGACATTTTAAATATTTGGCCAGTTAAGACTGCCTGCTTTTTTTTGGTGCGCGTTCTCTTCCCTTCTCTCCCCATCCCCAATATGGAGAAACAAAACACCCATAGTACTAGGCCCTATTCTATAAATTTGAGCTATTTAACCACAAAGAGAAAAAAGTAAGACAATGAATTCCAATAGCTCAGTGTCAATACTCATAATTGTAGAAATCTATGTGGCAGAGAATCCTCTTAAAGAGGCAGGCTGAGCTGCTGAAACTGCTGCATTTTTCCCCTACAAGGGATAAGAAAAAAAAAACAAACTCGAGTAAAAACTACTATTCAATTGTCTTTAGATGCACAGTTAAGGTGACTATGTTGCTCCACAGATGAAGTAAATGATGTGGGGAGAAAGGCTGGGTCCCTCAGATCCATATCCTCTTCTTCTGACCAAGATTGTCACAGATCCCTCTGAAACCAGGATAATATCCTTAGCGATTTTAATCTTGAGGCTGGAAGACTGGCAGCATTTTAGCACTAGCATTCCCAGCCTGAGATCTGGGGGGGAATGTAATTTTTTAGCATTCCAGCAAGGCATTTCACCCGAGTTGGAAACAGAGCCACAGGACTGAAACACACTGCTAAACACAGAAGTTCAATAAAGGCAATTTAGCACCTCACCCAGAAAACAGATGGTAGCTTTATTTCTGCCAGTAGCAAGTCCTTCAGAAATGGCTGGTTTTAAACAAGTTAACTATTCTAGTAATGTAAGGAGTGCTGCACTCAGGTGGAAGTGAAATATCCCAGGAGGGTGGGACTTGTAAACAGAATTTTCCAGTCTCATCTTCTTCTAGAAGTGTTGGCGACTGCTTAAAATTAGTCTTTGCTAGAAGTTGAATGAATTTGGGACAAAACCAAAAAAAGAACAAAATGTACCATCAGTCCACAGGATTTCTGGAAGATCCCGAATTAACATTTGTCAAGAGCTGGAAAGACTTGTCACAAAGAAATCACCCTGACATATGCTTCTAAGAGACTGTAGGGAGCTCGGACAACATGGACAACCTCACAACAGTGAAAACCCCCCCACAGCAGACAGGGGTGAAGACATGCAGGGCTTCCAGTTGTTGATAACAATGCCAAGTGCCACGAGGGGAGAAAAGATGCAAGAATTGCTTCACTTTGGAAGAGTTTCCTGCACCAGTACAGCACTCGTTCTGCAGATACAGGGATGACCAGGTGATACAAAAACTTCAGCAAGAGGTCACTCTGAAAGTACCCAAGATACTAATTTTTAAACCAACATGCATCACATTTGCACAGGCCAAATCAAGATCAAGAATGACATCAGCATTGAGAGCAATAAAATGGGTGGAATCCAGGGTTTACATGGATCAGCTTATACCCACGAATGTATATGCAAAATAAACATACAGATGAACATTCAGATGATTTAATGAGCATTAAACAAAAATGGAGATGGTATTTTGACCTGAAAGATAGCAAAAGCTCGACCAATGGCTTCAAGCAGCTTTGTGAAAAGCCACAATCGATAGACTAAAATGAGACAAAAGTAGTAATTCTCTCAGGTACAACAACTGCATTTCATACAAGAATTAAGTTCAGCAAGCTGCATGGACAGACTGCAGAAAAGCCATGCTAACATGTCTCATATCTGAGCAGGAGTCATTACAGAGATTTTGTGGTTCATTTTGCTCTTATTAATTCTGAAGGAGATATTCTGGAGATATTCAAAACCCATCTGGATGGGATCCTGGGAAATATGCTCTAGGTTGACCCTGCTTGATCAGGGAGGTTGGACTAGATGATCTCCAGAGGTCCCTTCCAACCTAAACCATTCTGTGAATAATGTATTTGGGAAATTAGAAAAGCTGTCAAGGAGTTGTATGTGCTTCCCACAGAGACCTATTTTAGAAAGCAGGTGAATTTCTGAAAGAGACACTGGAAACCCAAGATGACTTGTCAGCCCAGCTGCTGGGCAATCCCAGGCAACCAGCCCTTTAGATCAAGTGACTGTGGCCAGCATAATTACAGTTACACTGCAAAGTCAGTGTTACGCTTCACTGAAATAATATTTTTCAGGACATGTATGCATGTCTGCTTCAACTGTCAAATTCTCTTGTGCAGAAACCTAAAAACTCAAAGCTAAATTCTCAATACCAATAAGAGATAAATTACCAGAATATTACTATTTAATTTGCACATGGGCTTAAAAATAATACAAAACTGGAGTTTCCCCAGACATACCTTTCTGCACCACAGAGTTATGTGAAAGCAAAACCTGACATTTTTATCAAGCACATTAAACAAAGTGCACACAACTGGACAGGCTGAGATTTCTTCCCTCCAACACAAGAGCTAAGTATAAAACTAAACCTTTCCTCAGCAGCACGACAGATCATTAATTAAAAACCCTGTGGTTAAAACACCCCAACCCCACAAAACAGGAGGGGAGAGAGGAAGAGGGAAAAGAGGGAACTACATGGGCTAGGAGAGAAAGCATGAAATCAGATTTCAGAAAACCCCTACAAATAAGGCCTCTTTCTTATTTTATTGCTTCTCAGTGCTTAACACTGGTCTAGTGCAGCCAAAGACTGACAAACCCAAGCCTGTAGCTCAGCAAGACATAGGCAGGCAAGGAAGGAAACGCAGCAAGCAACGTGACTGCACAACCCTGCTCAGCCACCAAGGCATCATACAAATAGGAAATTGCCACCTTTCATTATACAGCTGCTGGGGAAGACTAGGGTCCAAGACATAGGAGTTTATGCCTTGTTACGCATGCACAGGATTCACTCTATGTTTCCTGTTGCTTGACAACTCAGAGGGATGCATTCGGTGTCTAATGCCAGCTATAATACATGAGATTTAAAACCCCGGAAGGACCACCAAGGTCTTTCTGTCTTTGAGGCCACATGAAAGTGGCTCATGTCTTTTGTAGCAGTAATATCTTTCCTTTAAAGGCCCAGGTGAACGTTGCCCATGGACAGGGGTGAAGGAGGAATGAAGGCTGCAGCCTTTGACTGCATCTCTCTCCTTTTCACCTGCCTTTCCTTCGAGCAGCCTGGGTGAACTGGCCAGTTGAGCAGGCTGCAATGCTCATCTGTTGGCCCCACCTGGGAAGGGGGCACAGAAGGGATGATTTGTGCTATATACAAAGCAAAGCAGAGGCAAGAGAACAGCTCACAGAAGATACTTCATGTTAAGAGGTACCCTGCACAGCTGGTGGAATTATGAAGAACCACACAGTAATGCCCTGCTGAAAGGCATTACTGAAAACACCAACCAAGGCTATCAATGCTTTTTGGACAAGTTTCTAATGAGCCCCATTCTACAAAGTGCTGAACTCCGTAACCTCATTGAAATCTGTGGGGCTGGAGCTGCCCAGAAGCACACTCTAGCCAAGAACACCAGGGTGCTGCTTCTGGTTTTGTTCTACTAAGGCTCAGGGATGCTAAAAACATTTGCTAGGGTAAGGTGTTTTGAGATTACTTAAAGCCATAGAAATGCAGGGAGACATCTCAAACTCCCTTAGACTAAAGCCAGTGTTAATGTACTCTGCAGACCACCATCGCCACCAGTTTCCTTTAGATAAGCCATTGGGCAACTGCCAGACTCTCACCTTCTCCCTCTAAGTCAGGGATGATGCATATTGGAAAAAGAGTGAGAAGTTTCCACTGGCCCATACTTGGGATTGTGCAAATAACCCCTGGCTATCATGGCTTTATAAACAGACTGTCAACACTATGGTTCCCACCATCACTGTATGATAAGGAAAGCCAGGCAAGTGTCAGATACCTGAAGTCCACTGCATACTTGTTTTCCCAGCATCTTCACAAGGATAAAAGGGCTGTTAACGCCTGCACTTGATAGGTAACAAAAGTAGAGTCCTGAGCTCTCCCACAATTTTTAATTAGGAGCTTAGCTTTAACACCAAATCAGTTCTGAGGACCTCACTCTCAAGAGTATCTGCTCCTAACCTTCAAAGGCTCCAGGGCAACCTACCAGCTAGTGGGAGCAGTGAAGGACTGCACAGAACATGAGTGGTGGTATCTGAAAGATGCAGAAAACTCAGGAAACAGTGTATTATGTCAAAAAACCCTCAGATCACCAGGACCAGAGTAAAGGGGTGAAACTTAGACACCTGTCTGTACTTAGGACCCTCAAACATCTTGCCTAGGGATATCTACCTACAACCTGCCCGAGGAGGGCAGGGAAGTAACAAACAACAATAGGATTAAACATGAGCCTGTCAAGCCCACTGCACCTCTCTTCTGGCAGAATGAAAATCTTGAGCCATAAAGACAAAAAGAATAGCAGTTTAAAATTAAACCATTTTAAGCAACTTTGCATATTTATTAGAGAAAGAGAATGTTGTTTGCATACTCAGGGGACAGCACTCTCTTCCCTGCAGTGCTCACTTCAGCTTTAGTCATTTACTAAGAAAGAGGGTTTATGCGGATGCCTTTGAGCTATAAGGCCAAGCACTCAGCTCTTATTGGCAAATTGAAGCATCCTTTGTAAATGTTTTTATTATTATTAACTGGAACTGTTTAATCTGTGCAACAATCACTTTCACTGCTGCTTCCTCTCCTACTAAAAAGCCTGAATTAAACGAGGAAACTGCAGCTTATTCTTTGGAAACAATTACTGAACAGAGCTGGATGCAATACGCAGCAGCTACCATTAATGTTTCATTCATTTGCTGGTCTGTCTTTCTTTGTGACTACTAAGCTTCTTTAACATGGAAAAAGAAAACTTCTGTAAAACGAACAGAAGTATTTCAGAATAAGATAGTAAAGAAAGTGACAGCAAACTTCCAGTACAGAAATCTACTAGAACTATGGAGTATATTTCCCTAAGAAAGTTTCGCTTGTGCTTTGAAATTACATATAACATAGCATGCCAAAGAGTTTTGAAACAACTAACATGTAGCTGCTAATGTGTAACAAACTAAGCTTGTATTAGCAGCACATTGTACCCAGCTGTCCAGAAAAAAGACTCTAAATAGCATCCCAGATTTGAGAACTGAGCTGTTCTGTATGCCTTGTTAAAAATGTGCATTTTATTTCATTTAATAAATTCTACAGATAAAGGAACATAAGACTGCCACTCATAAATCAGTTTTCCAAATATATGCAATGTTGAGAACTAGTCTATGAACGCAGAGTGCTAAGAATAGTGTTTAATGCTGCAAGAAAACCCAGTAAAGTCACAACTCTTTAAAGTCACAACTCTTAAATGTGATTTGATTTTTAGTCACAAATCTAAAGTGCTAACTATTTGCAGGTCATCTCTTAGCATAATCTTGCTGCCAGAAATTGTGGGGGAATGGGAGTAAGCCATATATAACTTCATGAATTGCTTCACTTTTCATGACACTGCTGCTATCTTTCAAAGAGATGGAGAGAAATCAGGGGACAATGTGATCACTCACTCAAATTTAGCCTGGATGTTGTTAAGTTGATCTTTTTTAAAAAGTCTTCTGAGATTAAAAGAGTGTCCAGAAACTCACATTTATGTTGAGCAAGAAAGATGATACCCTCCCAAGTTCTACAGCTTTCCAGAGCATTGATCAAGCCACCAACGCAGCTGCTTAAGGACAGAGTTAAATCTCAGCCGTCCTGAGTTAAGGGAAATGCCCAACACAGCTGCAGTGACAGATGCTCCAAATCCCCATCACAGGGCTGAAGCAAGCTGAAGTGCTAATGTGGGTGATATATCCCAATCAATGCAATGCACAGCTTTTCCACCTGCAGACACAGTATAGTCCTTTTCTACAGTGCCAATCCAGTTGTAGCCTAGCATTAATACCCTCAGCAAGCAGTAACTCTCTGGTTGCAGTGCAGCAAATACTAACTCAAAAATACAAGCAACCCTGGCCAATTAAGTAGTTTTGCCAAAACACTCCCCCAGGCCCAGCACCACATATTGGTACACTCTAAAGCCGATAGTAGGCGAGTTTTTTCCCCCAATACAGACACTTTTCTTCAGGCGCTTAATTAAGAAGCCCAAGTGAAAAATCTGCCTACCTATAGTCCTTTGCAGTATTCACTGTAGACAAATGAACACCTTCAGGGAATAATTCAGCCTCTTTCTTCTTCCTTTACTGGCCATTGAAGGATCCAAGGATAAGTAACATCCTAACTTGTGTTTTACGTAAGTGCCTAAGTCAAGTCAGATGGGTCTTGACCTGATTTCATACAGTAGCAAGATCGATGGTTTTTTTTTTCTTTTTTTGAAATGTCAGGAGTACATATATACCAAAATATTGTGATTTGTTTTTTTGAGACAACATAAGGGCAACAAGCTTAATTATAAACAGTAGTCTGAAATACATTAAAACAACAAAACTGAATGAAGACATTTATAGTATTACAGCCTTGTGCTACGGGGAAGGGAATGTTCACTTCTACCTTCAAGTCCAATTCAGCATGCCTAAGCCTCTCTCAGAAGTCAGTGAGCTCTGTATGCCTTTTGGAATGGAGGAGCAGGCCTCTAGTCCATAGTTTTAACAGCCAAAATAATGACTATTTCAGTTCCCAAAACATAGACGTGAAAGAGCAGAAGCACTAAAAAAACCACTTGTACTGTTTAGCCTAGTTTAATTCCCACAGCCATCTTAAAGCATTTAATTTGAAAGACAAAAGGACCTTGAAGATCCATTTCGATACTGTAAAATAGTGAAATGTAACAGCCAGTACCACCTTACATTATTGTGAAGTTATTTAGATAGCTAGACCTGCTAGCCAAGCTGAAATGAAGTCAGTAATGTACAAAACCTATTAAAATAACATAGAAAACAAGAGTTTTCTCCACTGAGAATATGGAGTTTGCAATGTTAGTATGTAGAGCTGGATTTAGTTCAAGAGCTGCTGCAGTCATATTGCCTTTATGATACTGAATTTGCTTCCAAACATGGCAAGCTGTAATACTGGAAGTTTCTCTCCAACAGTCTAGCAGATGTTATGTCTAGCACATTCAGGCACCTTCAAATAAACAGATCTCACATAAGACAGAGGCTCCAGTGGGGCATGAATAACTCTTAGACAGTAAACCAGGTCCATCTCAACTAACAGAGTCATGGTTTATCCATGGAGATCTACACTAGGCAGAATATTCCCCGCAGCACTGGGGGATTCACAGAGCCTGAAGCAGCTGAACAGTGGTCTAAGAGCAACAATTAATAATGGGAATTAAGGAAAACTCTATCCATAGGCATGGTTGTTTCCCAGCAGGCAGAAGCATCCTGTGTGGGTTTCTCTTCGCAAACATCTACTTCTAAAAACAAGACTTAAATGAAGCTGCTGAGATGTGAACATGATTTCTCTGCCCTTCTCTGACTCTTCGAACCAGGCAACCCTGATGAAAAAAAATCAATTCTACATCCAGTGTACACTCCTAAGCAAATATTAGTAATTGAGGTGGAGGGGAAAGCACCAGGACAAAGGGCTTTAGGGGCCAGCAGGATTGAGCCCTTCCCCTATAAGCAACCTTGGAAGGCAGAGCCTACTTTTCATTTTACAGTCACTGCCAACATAACTTTCCCCCTCCTTCCCAAAAAGTCACCTGGCTGTAGGTGCATCAATAGCAGCTGAAGAGACACATACAGCCAGGAAAAAGGCCCTCTTTTGGCTCTTTTCTCCTCTTCCCCTATAAAGGGCTCAGAAAAAATTAGCCCATTACCAGGCTTAATGAGCCTGGTTACCACATATCAGGTGAGCCTTGATGACCATGCTGAAGATGCAATCAATATCAAACCCAAGATAAGACACATTAGCTCAGGTGTCAGTGACGCAGGTTTAAACTAATCCACTTAACCTTGAGTTTGCAGTAGGTAAAGAGCATACATGCTAAGAATTGTTGCACCTCACCTTACACACGTTAAGCTGTGGCAATACATCTGCTTAGCATAAGCTCCTGATTTCTATTTCTAGAAGAGTGGTATGTTGACATAACAGGGCTGAGTCCAGGTTTGCCACCACAGCATAAGAGGGAGGTCAAAACAAGGATTAGAAAATTAGGCTGGCCCACAAGGATAGTACAGCTTCCACCAGTATTCACTTGAGTATAGAACATCACAGGAATTTTTTCCTCAAAAATGTGTTTTCCAGTGCCATAGGTACAGTAATTAGATCATGGACTTAAATCATTTCATCCGAGTGCATCTATGATATCTACATTAGTGCCCTCATTCTGACACAGCAAGACATTCAAAATTGAGCATAACAAACAGAAGGGAATTCAGATCAACAACTTAACAGAAGACACTCCCAAATTTTGTAGCCGCTAACCTCCAGAACTGCTGCATAAGCAAGCAGAAGTCTCCACCCATTTATGCATAATAAGATTAAAAAACAGACAGGTGGTGACTTAACCCCTAACTGACTTGACATGTTCTTCATTTCATGTGATGTGTTGTTTTAAACCTTTAGTTAAGAAGGAAAAGAGTCTTCAACATTGAGTGTCTAGAAGGACAAAATATTGTCATCCTGAAATGCTATATCAGTTTAGTAATATCACATTATAAAGGGAGACATCCAACTACGAACATTCATTACAGGTCCAGAGCCTTCAACTGTATCAAGCAGCAACTGAAAGCACACAGGAGAAGCTGAAGACTTGTGCCCTGCACATCTGCACAGAGGAAGAAAGTAGCTGCGCACTCACCCCTCCCTCACAACAATTTGAAGTGGCCTCCTCTGAAACATTTAGCTGACTTAAAACTCATTTAGTTTTATTATTCTACCTTTGGGACATGCACAACCACTCCATCTTTCATCATGACCAGTGTTAAAATTAAAAAAGATAGCCAAAACTTCTGTTATTATTCTCCAATTAGCTTTAAAAAATATGCCTTATGCAAACATCTAGTGATATTTCTTACCACACAAAAAACCCAGCAAAATCCCATGAGATGTCTTCCAGGCATTCCCTTGTTTGCCTTCCCTCAGCATCTATGAAAAGGCACAGTGCCTCTTCCCATGTAAGAGCAAGTCCTACACCAGCCAAGGGAATCCCCCCTCAGTAGCTTCATGTAACAAAACATCCCTTTACATATGGGACCAGCAAGGGCGAGATTCTCCTCTCAGTTATACTAGGGCAGCCAAAAGGAGAATTTGCTCCTATGCGTTTATTACACAGTAGGATTGAATTTCCACAGCGCTCTGACTTGGCCAAACCAAGCCTACCTCACTGCTCAAAGGCATTTTTCTACTGCGCGGGAGCCTCCCAGTAAGGAGCTGAAGGTCTTGCAGAGTGTAGAAGCACATCACTATCTTAGACATGAACCATTCCACCTTCCTCCAACACAGACTTTACAACTCTTTCACAGAAGAACGAACTCTCTCCTCTAAATCTTAATGTCTGTTAATTATATCACCAGCTTTCTGCTGTTTTACTCATCTGCCATTCCAAGTTTCCTAGTCTGCTACAGACAGTCAATTCATTCAATTTCTTTTCTAATGGACACATCTGGGGATGATTTACCACCTGAAGCTGCTGTAGGAAATTTAGAGGAATGCCTCCTCAAAAGGCAGCTACCACCTTACACTGCACTCCTGCCTGAAAGGGAAAGAAAAAGTCACACATCCCTAAAAGTGGTTTCAGAGGCACTCAAATGTACCCCAGGTTATCAGGGCTTAGTTTGCTTACCAATGCAGAAAACTGGAAGTTTAGATTGCATTTAACAAGACCCAAACTCCTCATCTACTTTTAGAAAATACAAAGGAGGAGACTCATATGAACCCCTAGAGTTTGTTAGCAAAAACCATAGGAAACTTTCACCTAAGCTGTGGAAGACAAATCCATCCTCTCAAGCAAATAGCAGGTAGCTGTCCTAAGGGCACAGACACACATGCCTTCTCCAGGCATGGTTGCACTCTGCAAAGAAAACAGATCACTCATATGATCTGCTTTGCCAAAGAGAGACCTACAGTTTGAACAAGCTCAGCTCACTCTGCCTGAACAGATTAGGAAGCAATCACATGAGCAGCTCAGGGATCAGTGCTGAGTGCAACACCTACAGCAGCTGGAGGAGCCAACATGATGACATTTTCAGTGCCCAAAACATATGGAAGAATCATATTCCCTGTAAAAATGCAGGTTCACCTGCCACCCTTTGAACATAGCACTGCTGGACAGGCACTCCTTTTACAGGAAGGGGGAAAACAGTTTTGGACTCAGGGGTCTGGTATGGGAAATATCCCGACACTCAAGTATGTTCCTGGTGCTGCAGCTCCATACCTTTACACCTGTGGGCTTAGAAGCCTAACCTGCCAACCAGCATTTAGCACAGAATCATATGTGAATACTCATTTACTAACATGGATGCTTATAAAAATGCCTTTTAAATAGGGTTTGAACCAGGCGGTATTTTTCAAATCTAACCTGTACTAAGTGTTACTTCAGATCTACTGTAATGCCAGTGAAATGACCATTTGACTCACTTTAGTAGTCTATTCCTAACTGTATTCATTTTACATAAGAAAATTTAAGCAGTGTGAAAAGAAACAACGGGACATTCCCTATCAAAGCCAGCATAGTACACCTTGCCTAAGAGGAAATACACCCCTATCAAAAATTTTAAAGCCCGATGTTTTTATCAAGGGCTTAATTTGTAAACACATTTCAGTTATGTTCCTATGAACCTTTAGCCATCTGGATCCCAGTTCAGGCTTTATTTGTATACAAAAATATATTATAATGGAAAAGCACTAAGAGTTCTCAACTATATACAATTACAAATATTTTTCATAAAAAGCAACTTCAGATTCAAAATTAAGCTATATTTTAAAGCAAAAATATAGCAGTAACATTTGAGTTACCCAACTCCACCTATGTTGCCTGTTAAATGCTTATGGGAGATGACAAAGGTTATGTTCAGAAGGTGAACAGCTCGGGCAGCAAAGCTATCAGACAGTGTCAGCAGTTCCCAGTGACTGATGTCACTTATCCTCCAGGACATCTTCATGTTTGGCATCAGTGCCAAAGTTTCCTGTTTCACATACCTGTAAACACAAAGCAAGATCCGTTCCACATTTAATAACGTAATTCAATAATTGCATGCTGTTGACACATCAGATATCATATTATGCTCAGCTTTTTAGACTGCCTGACACAGGGCAAAACTATGCCTTTTTTAGCATGAGAACTAAGAGGTTATCGTGTGTAAAGATTTGAGGCAACTTGTGTTCTAATAAGTACACTGCACAAAAGGCATCTGTACAAAGCTTTCGCGTAACCTCAAGTACCCAACAGAACTCCTCCATCATGCGTTGATCAGGATCCAGGTGGAAGGTGGAGTTTTCCCAGAATTCTAACATACAATAGAGTTCACATGTCACCAGAGACCAAGTGACACTCTGTAAATGAAACTTGAAATAACTACACAGCATTTGCTTAGCTGGAAAAAACTTGAGCAGGTAGCAGTCCCTGACCTCATCTTCATGTGCTTTACAGGGGGACAATGAAACCAATAAACAATGGGCAGCCTATTTCAAGTCACCTGCAACATGGCAGTGGAAGAGATAGCAACACAAATATTTGAGATTTTGGGGAGGTTTTTTCCTTCTACATGGGCAAAACTTTGGACTTGAATTTTCAGGAGCGCAATCAATTGAAATTTCAGTGGTAAAAATTATTAGGTCAAGCATGCATCCATAATAGAAGTCAGGAAACCAGAAGTGTATTTTAAATAAGGGAAGTGAAATCAGGATTAAGATATGACTAAGACAACAGGGAGGCAGGAAGATCATAAGGGCAGCTGCCTTCAATTAAATTCAAGGCAGATGGCCAAGGCCTCAAGAATTACAGGGAAGGGAAAATACCTAATGTTATAAGACACACTGAATTTCTGCTTTTTGTCCACACTGCCATTTAGGTCTAATCCTGTGATTTATTTTGTATGGGACCAGATTGTAGAGCCACACAAAACAGGATCATACCTCAAACAGCCAGCATGGGAAGCAGCACAAAAAAAAGAGTATACAGTGGGAAGAGGAGTTTAAGCTCCTAATAAAAAACCCAACAGTACAATTTGGAAATCATACTTTCTGTCACTATGTAGGAGTTAAGTAGGCTAAATTCCTTTCTGGTAGAGATGGAAAAAAATCAAAATCCTACTTAATCTAGTCTAAGACAGATACAGATATCTTTTCAACCATTTCATAAAGCATATAAAGCATAAAGCAAAGCATAATATTAATAAAACTTTAGATTGATATCTTTCACTGTGGTTACTGCTCCAGTTAGCTTTATAACTGAGCACAAACCCACTTCCTAGCAGCTTTGAAGAGTCCAGAAAATGTGTTTACTCAGTCTATGCACTGTCAAGAAGTGAACTGCAGCTGCTTCAGAGATGGCAGAGGTTCACAGGAATATGGCCTTTCTGTCACACACCTACTGCATACATTGTGCATGACACAGGACAACAGGAGTAACTCCATCACTCCCACTAACCCTGCACCTGCTTAAAACAACCCAGTAGAGACAGCATTGATTTTTATTTTCTGAAATACCTGAACTAATCTGAAATTTACACATGTAACTCATTCAGATTAACAGTCAGGCTTCTAAATAAGGGAAAAGAGAATTTGGTAAGTAAGAACATCTACAAAGCACACAATTACACTACTAAACAGGGAAAGGATGTCCAAAGAAAAAGCCTTGAGCATTTAAGCAATGACCTGAGTTTATTTTACCTTCTTATCTACCTAGTAATCCATAGCACAACCAAACTAAATGTAGATATAAAAAGATTGTTACTCTACCCTTTATTTCTGATACACTGACTTCCATCACTCTGAAAAAATTTACTTACTTGCTAGTGTCCTGTCAAGATCAGCAATAAAGTCTTCCAGTTCTTTTGTATCTCCAAGCTTTGCTGCAAATTAAGAAAGGTCAGCACAGCTTAAACATAACATCTCTGTCCAAGAGAACCCCCCTGGACCTGTACAATTCCCCAAATAAATTTCAGTGGTATCAAACATCCTCTGGGTTATTTTCAGAAGAGTCTTCCTAACCTTTCTCTCAGCAGGGTTGCTAAAGTGTCCAAATGCAGTCTCAGAAACTGGTGACACCAATTGAAAACTTAACTGTAAAAGAAATTTAATCCAACTGATTGAAGCAAAGCAACTCACTTTTTAGTTTCCTCAAAGCAGAGGTTGCAGTGGGAGGAAAAAACAATAGGTCAGCTAATCCAGGTCCTTCCTACTGTGAGATTTTTCCTTTTAATTCATATCTATTTGCAGACACTGCTTTCACAGCCCTTTGTTGCTTTGACATTAGGTCCTTGATCACGGTCCATACGCTCTAAGTCTGGATCCAAGCATCCACCCAAATTTTCACTCCTAACGAAGTCACCCATCCCACTCAGTCCACTTCTACTGCAAGTGGCTTGCTTGTCGCATTTGTGACATACTCCAAGTTGGTTCCAAGTCCATCTCTAGCATCTCATCAGGAACAGCATCTTCACCTTTCGTACAATTCCTTGCCAAAGACTTCCTGCCAGTTTAACTGCATTTTCTCTACTTACTGACTACGGCTCATTATTTCTCCCTCACACCACACTAACCAGTAAAAACCCTTTTCACTTGTTACTGGTCAGTGCAGACAAGACCAATGAAAGCCTAAACATTTCTTGAGCATGCACACGAGAAGACTGTTGTCATGAAAGCACTGTGCAGTACGTAAGTATGTGCCACTTATTGGCACACCTACTCCAGAGTTAGTCTAAGCTACCCAAGTGAAACAAGCTTCCGTGGAGTTAGACCAGCTGCAAGACAGAATCCTTTCTCAAATAGCATAGCCACACAGGAGGAAGTAATTACTACATATACATGCATCAGCAGTGCAAGGTCCACAAGCACCTAAGTAATTGTGCTAACCCAAATGGCAGCATATGGCTTCTGAGGAGTCACCTACTGCACTCCTGCATTCAAGTTAAGAATTTCTCTCTGAGACACTTAAGCTCCTTCATCACTTAAGTGTTACTCCTCACTTAAGTCAACTCTGAAGTGCAGTATTCCATAAGCAGCACCACAATTTCAGATAAACTAAAAACTGTCACTTCCTTTAGCTTGGTGGTTCAAAGTTAAGAGTTGCCAGGCCACTTGCCAACTGCGAGTGCAACATGCTATTGCGTTGATCACAAACAGTAACAGCACTTGCACCTGCACTGGGCTTTACAGGAAGACTGTCATGGAAAGACTGCCATGGAAAGACTGCCAAGGCTTGTCCATGCATCAGACTACTACCCCCTGCTGCTCTTCCATGTGGGTGCTAATGACACAAAAGGCAAATTGGAAACCATCAAACAGGACTTCAGAGCTCTGGGAATGGTGGTGAAGGGTCTGGGAGCCCAGGTCGTTTTCTCCTCAATCTTGCCTGTGAGGGGGAAGGATGGGAGGAGGAGTAGAAGAGTTTTCCAAGTTAACAACTGGCTGTGCCGCCGGTGTCGGTAACAGGGCTTTGGTTTCTATGACCGTGGGGGCCTGTTTGAAGATCACCAGCTGATGGGGAGAGATGGGATCCACCTTACCAAGCAGGACATGCATGTCCTGGCCAACAGATTGGCCAGCTTGGTAAGGAGGGCTTTAAACTAGGAAAGATGGGGGAAGGGGAGTGGTATGGAGACAGGGGAGTCAGTAAAACACTGCTCAAGTCAGGATGCCTCCAGCGGGTGCATGCAGCCAGGGGAGACAGCATGGGACATGGCTATGGAGGATCCTCTTGCACCTCTCCTGGGAAGCTTGCATGCCTGTATACCAATGTGGGCAGCATGGGGAATAAACAGGAAGAGTTAGAGATCTGTGTGCAGTCACAGGGCCATGATCTCATTGCAGTGACAGAGACATGGTGGGATAGTTCATATGACTGGGATGCTGTCATGGGTGGCTACGTGCTTTTTCGAAAACACAGGCCAGGAAGGTGAGATGGTGGAGTTGCCCTTTATGTGAGGGAACAACTAGAATGTGTGGAGCTCTGCCTCGGGGTGGATGAAGAGCAAGTTGAGAGCCTATGGGTAAGGATTAAAGGGCAGGGTAACATGGGTGACACTGTTGTGGGGGTCTACTACAGGCCACCTGACCAGGAGGAAGTCATCGATGAGGCCTTCTACAGACAGCTGGAAGTAGCCTCACGATCACAGGCCCTGGTTCTCATGGGAGACTTCACCACCCTGACATCTGTTGGCAAGACAGCACAGCTAGGCACAAACAGTCGAGGAGGTTCCTGCAGAGGATTGATGATAACTTCTTGACCCAGGTGGTGGAGACGCCAACGAGGAGAGGTGCAATGCTAGACCTTGTCCTAACGAACAAAGAAGGTCTAGTTGGAGAGGTGAAGGTTGGGGGCAGCCTTGGCTGCAGTGACCATGAGATGGTGGAGTTGAGGATCCTACGAGGAGGGAGCAGGGCAATAAGTAGGATTGCAACGCTGGACTTGAGGAGAGCTAACTTTGGCCTCTTGAGGGACCTACTTAGGGGAATCTCATGGGGTAGGGCCCTAGAAGGAAGAGGGGTCCAAGAAAGCTGGTTAATATTCAAGCATCACCTCCTCCAGGCTCAAGAGCAGTGCATCCCTCTGAGGAAGA